GCTGCTGAGTAATTCATGTGTACTCAGGCAGGATACAATAGCAAGAGAATGGTTCGAAGACGAACTTGAAGAATGGGTGCATTTTGTTCCAGTGAAATATGACCTCAGCGACTTATTTGAAAAAATAAAGTGGGCAAAAGAGCATGACTCCGAGTGCGAGGCAATTGCAAAGAACGGTCGAACATTTGCCTTGAAGCATTTTGAAAAGGGTGCTGTGGATAAATTTTTGCATTCGGCAATACAGAAAACAAAGAAATGAAGCAAAAAGATGTTTGCTTTTTTCTCCCCAATATCTCAACAACTATAAATATATAAACTGTGGATAGAGATCGCACGAATAGATAGATTATTGGCATGGTGTGAATAGATAGATTATTGGCATGGTGAAAATAAGATCTCTCAGTTTGCTTTTTTTGTCGTATAGCACTCTCCTTCAGCAACAGTATTCCCAAAACTATCGTGTCACATCAATGATGATTATACCCGAAAACGTTTCACTTTTCCCTTGTTGATTGATTGATTGATTGATTGATGATATTCCAGCCGAATATTATGGATGCAAACAAAACGCCCGCAGACCTAACGCCAGCCTCGCTGTTTCCTCACCCTCATGCATGGCAGGCTCCAAAAAGACACCTCCAACATTTAGTGGACCAAATTGGAGTGGAAGGACAGACACATGAAATAATTCACGAATTTTCACAAATCAAGCCCAAATATTTAATAGTACTACTGTAACGTGAAGAGGTATTAGACTTATATGTAGGACATAAGAGTCACTATATTTGTATAGTCAGAAGTTGGCAGCTGAAACCAAAACGCTTGAAGTCAAACTAAAAGAACCGTCAGCTCCAATTTATATGATATGACTGTGAATGTACTAGATCTTAGTATAATACGGGAAGCAAGAGGCCAAGCATGATGTCCTCCTCCCACCCTGCCTAGTATAGTACTACTAGTATTTGAAACAAAGCAGCACAGTATGTCCAAACAAAGCATTATCCAGCGGACATCAAGTGTGGGGAACATGAATATCAAACTAGACAAGAAAATGTTAGGGTTGACTTCCATTGTTTTCGTTCCATTTGCATTTGCATAGGTATTATGTGCCCTTGAACAGCATGAGAAAAGAGAACCATTTTTTTCTGCTTACTACTATAGGCTACTCTAGGCAATCGATCATCAATCCTTTGACTTCAAGGAGGATATATCATCACCGCTGCGATCTTGACGTAACTCCAGAGAAAGGATGACAATAAGATATTACGTTACACTGCTGTCGTCCGCGGTGCTGGAATTCCTCGAAGTGCCCGTTGTTCTTCCAAGTGCTGCTGCGGGCTGCTGATGAATGATCATTGCAAAGGACGAACGAACTTGGGGTAAGATCGAAATAATAGATAATGCATGGCATTCTTTGTGAATGGGAAAAACAAACAGGAATGCTTACGGTGAGGCTGGATCCACACCAGTGACCTCGGGGATGGGTGGTGGTCTGGAGACGATGGCTGCAGTACCGGATCGAGATTGTTTGTTGGTTGATGAGTTTTCAATCATTGATGTAAGGAATTTCTAGACTTGCTGCATGAAGACAGAAGTGATATCAGTAGCCACTTACCTTGTTCCCTGTAGCAAAAGGTTCCTTCCTTTGCACTGAAATCGTAAACGGGGTCTAGTACTGCGGAGGAGCTGTTTGCGCAATAATTGAATCCAGGTGGTTTGCGCCCGGTGGTCTCCTGCAAATCCCATTCCAAGGAACCACCGTCATACAAGCAAGTACATTTGCCCTCATCCGCGTCACCAACATCGAAAGAGTAGAAATCCTCGCTAGCATCCACTATATCGGACAGTAGAAAGCCTTGAAGCCTTCCTGGGGTGGAAAGACACAGCTCATGACATTCCGTGGCACTCTTCGGCTCCAATGTTTCGCACAAATCATAACCTTGGCCGCCATGATTATTACTACTATAACCTAGCAGTACTGGTACGCAAAACCCTTCACCAAGATATTCGGTTCCCGGAGGGGCTTCGGGGGCTGCACTCCTTGCGAGAGAAACAGTGCTGGCCAGCAACAACGCAAATACTAGAAACTTCATCTCTTACAAAGATTTTCAAAGCAACGAGTCAAAATTGTAGTATGCGAGAATTCGATTGCCATTATTCTGCAATACATGATGGTGCGTCAGAAAACTCCGCTCTTGACAGGTTCTTGCTACCACAAGCTACCTGGTACCAGCTACTGTTCGATAGGCCTTGGCGACTTTGTATCAGATAGCTTCACATTGAAATGAAGAAGGTGGAAGCAAGGCGTTGTTCCACTTTCTTGTAACTATTCCTACTTACTGAAGTCCATTTATCAACGTCAAATGAATCACTGTGTTCAATAATTAGTGAGGACTCAAACCCCTTCCTTCTGAATGATTGAATATCCAAGATTTTATGTAATCGATGCCAACATAAAAGAAGCGGCATAATCAAATAAGATGGAGTGCGTAGTTGCATCTGCTATGTGCCATGCAGGTTCGTACCGGTACATAGGTACACGTCCGGACACGTTGAACGTACGGTGTACATACTACCTGGTACGCACTGCTCATTTTTCTTGGTGAAAAACGCGATTAAGTCAGTCAGTCAGTCGCCTGCCATAATGACCATCAAATGATTGGGGGAGTTTGGTTTGGGAATGGTGTTGGGGGAACGTTTCTCTCTCACTCCCTTTTCATGCGACTTCATACTGATATATGTGATACACATCACCATGTATGCCGGTATCTTTTATGGATACCGGTATCCATAAAATGGGGTGATCAACATACTGTACAGTTAGCAGTATAGTAAAAAGCATGAAATATTATTTTAAAAATAAAATCATAAAAAAATTATGATACTAGTAGGACTACACCACTGATACCATTCGTGTAGTACAGGTAGTAAGAAATTCGTAGCCGAGGGAAGTAACCACCA